GGAGGTTCGTAAGGGATACCACTGACAGGTGTTGAGAATAGTCCCCCATCATAGCCTCGTACTAAAGTAGAGGTCTTTCAATTAGGGATCCGCAGAGACATGATTCATTCATGAGTTGATATTTTTCAAACGGTCATGACTACATCACAACGTCATGTACAGACAAGATTCATCGTTTGTACCTGTTGTATCAACCATAACTATGTCTCAGTGATAGGAGAAACATCATTGACCAGTTACTAGAAATCTAGTCAAGATCCTAAACACACAACTGAGTCTAGGAGAATTTTAATGAGCAAGTAATTATTCCGATGAATCCAAATCTGGTGGAACATAGTCTGGCTGCTTGGCTCTAGGTCTATGAACAGGAACATATCATGTATAATAAAAATATAGAAATCTATCTCAATCTGTTGTGTTTTCCATGTAACTTACCATGGTACATGCTTTAGGTCGCGTCATAGCATATGCACGTGACTGTGGAACTAAACCGTGGAGTGTTTAGTGTGTAATGCATGTGTGGGTATACTGGACCAAACTAGAACTCGATGGAATAGAGATAATGGAATCAGCGGGAGACTGATAGACTGAGAGAGAACGAGCTGGTCATTTCTCGTAGGAGAGAAATGATATCATAAGGGAATGTTCTAGCATTAGGCTGTGAACAACACAGTTAGTCTGGAGCAAGATATAAGGAGGTCTCAACCTCTGTTCATTCGTTGTAACTAAGTTTCCTTTATACGAGAATAAAGAGTCAAGTCTTACATATCACGAGAACACACGCGACAGCGACTATAGAGACCTACTATGAGCATAACTTCCCCAAGGGTATCCATCGTCCTGCTCCCATATAGCCTAGTTAATATAACACAATCACAATCATCTTAATTCATGTCATCATCAATAGCTGCAAAGTACAGTTTAACCTTTTACTTATATATATTTCCCGTGATGGATAGAGATTCAGCTCAGTATTGTCGACGGATCAATTGGTGTTGGTATACAGCAGAGCAAGTCCAGAATAGATCAATTAATTAATGAAATCTGGAATAAGAAGATTTCCTATATCTCGCTGTATACATAAGGAATTGTAATTTGATTTTGTTTTCATTTAGCCCGATTTGACGCCTTAAGACCCATGCAGGTGTCTACAAATTGTTTTTTTTTTTTCATTTTATGTGTATTCAGATGTCTAGTTATGACACATGACTGGTGCGATGTATACATGATGGATGACTCTTTCGAAGTTAGAGACACTCATACTCTGTATTTCATTCGCAAATACCACTATGAGGTATGCTTGCTTACACAAACAGTCGACCCTCCTCCGTAAGTACCCACCAAAGGCAATTTTGAAAACTTTGGTCATCCATGCATGCCTTCGTCATCCATGTATACCAACACTTCGAGAAAAGTGGTTGTGTTTTGCCGGATTTGGATCAGCGATCTACTGTCTCGAGTGGGATATGTGTCCAAGCTATCCAGACCTTACTTAGCAGACCGGCCAAGACGATGTACCACCGCACCATCCAATCATGGCGATGTTTATAGTGTCGCCTGCACTCTCGCAACCGAAGTCTTGGCGCGCACAAAGCTCAATTCGTAAAACTTTTGCCAAAATTCAGAATTTCACGCCCTTCGAGGTTATGTCCTTCCTTTGCATCATCTTGTAAACTTGTACTGGCCCCTCTCACGTCCATCCCAAAGAGCTGTCTCCCAGATTTGTGCGCCACGCTTTGCTTCCTCTGTCGGATATAAATATCGGCGTGGGCGTGTATTTGGTGGTCAACTGAGGCCAGAGAAAGTCAACGAGAGGTGTGATCAATGGAATGAGGATGTACTAGGTCATATTTGTAGACTTGATGAGGCTTAGGTGTGAATCAGAATCTTTGGAAGTGAAGATTTGACGTGGTGGAGTACTTTGAATCATTGCCTCGAAGGCCAATTTGTTCGGTATTGCGAAATTTGACTGAACTTGGCTCTGGGATAATATTTCACTCCCAGGTTCGTCGAGCACATCGCGTACAGGTGTTCAGTCTTGCCCTCCGATGTATCTAACATTGTTAACTTGCCATATTTACTATGATAATGTAGTGCTTGCGCGAATAAAATATTGTAATAACGAGTCCGCACCGTTCTGATTTGTTTTTAATTTTGGCGGGGGTGTTACTGGATTTGGATGGCTTACGGTTAACAAAACTCAAGAAACGGGTTGGATGATGCAGTGTTACACCATCCGGGACGTTCGCCCGAGTAGAATCAGGGTAGCTTGAACAATTACCCCATGTAAGACAGGAGATGGCTGGTTCGAACCCAGTGAAACCCACACAACACTCTCTCTCTCGCGGTGATATTTTACTTGTGGGAGGATGAAAGCACACTCGGATAGCCACAGAGTTTTCACGCTTTTCCCTGTGATGGGTATGCACGGAAGAGGTTATACGCCGTAAGGGTTAACATTGAGTGGTACCTGCCAAGGAAACTTGAGTATGAGTGTTCTAAATATTAAAATGAGTCATCATATTACAGTACATATCTTCTGATAAAAAACTGCATGGGCCTCATGTTGCCACATCAGGATAATGAATGATTTATTAGCGAGAGCAGCCGAAAAATTCAACCTTATCCTCGAAGACCAAATGGGAGCTAGGCCAATGAGATCCACAATTTCCGAGATAGAGCTTCGAAATGAGCAGATCCATACGATCCGCTTTAACTTCGCAGTGGTACTTGCAAATGAAATCTGAGGCATGAGTACTATTCCTTTACGTTGAATCATCTGTTCTGTACCTTTCCTTGATATTGTGTCATAGATAAATAGCTGCAAACGCAATTAAAATCTGTTGCAAAAAAAAAGATCCATACGATTTGGAGTAAAAGACAAAAAGCGAGTGGCGTCTCTGCTCAGCCTTAATATATCTGGAGCTTTTCAAAATGTGTCCCACGAACGATTACTTCATAACGTAAGAGAAAAAAGAATCCCAACGTGGATCAGGCTTTAAATAAATTCTTTTCTAGAAGAAAGGACTACATCTTTAGTGCTAGGGTCATGCAAGGGAGAACGGATATCTACCAGTACGGGGATACCTCAAGGTTCCTCTTTACAACCAATACTATTTCTCTTCTTCGTCGGCACACTCCTTCCACTGCTCAACACGAGTTCTTCCTCAGCCTTGTGGTTTGTAGATGATACAAATATCCTGACATGGTCACGATCAACCGAGGAAAACTGCCAACAGTTGGAAAAGAAGCATAAGGTCTGCGAGCAGTTGACAATAGAGCATGGGGTTAGATTTGCGCCTGAGAAGTATCAACTGATGCACTTCTCACGGTCAAGGAAAAAATACAATCTTAAAGCAACAATCGAAATACAAGGTCACGCGACAGTCCGCAGACTTCTCTCCATGTCCTCGGAATGTTCTTCTATCCAAAGCTAAACTGGGGAGTGCATGCAAAAGTATATAGCGAAAGGCAGAGACGTCGGTCCAGGTAATGAGCAGGTTAACACAGTCTACATGGGGGGCGACATTTCATTAGGCAAAGCTATTGTATAGCACGATGGTGAGACCGGCCTTCACGTATGGGTCCCCGATTTGGGCCGAGGCCGGGCCAGGTGTTAAGATACCTGAACAGATAATGAAATCCCTTCGAAGCATCCAAAGAAACTGCTTAAAACTAGTCACAGGAGCTTATAAGTCGATTAGTACGAGAGTGCTCGAACAAGAAACTGCCACCTTACCGATAGAAACCTACCTGAAACAGCAAAGACTCCAATACGTTGGCCGCTCGAAAAACCTACCAGTTCAGAAGCTCATACAATCTGCCTGTAGTAATGTCAAGCTGCCCAAACGAGGGAGAGAAGACATTCGAGCAAATAACAGGAGATTGGATCTGGCAAACTGGGTGGAAATTTGTGGGGAAGACCTGTCACAAAAACGGCAGAAAGAGGCAGGAAAAGTTGCAGCATACCAAGAATGGGCTAAACCCTGGAAAAATCAAAGGCTGCTCCAATTACCTTGACATAAAGCAATCGCCGACCCCAAGACCTGGAGAGCAGTAAAGTTCTATCAGAAAAAAAAGTCAGATCGATGGAAAGTAACTCTCCAGGAATCGCCGTTCCTACTCCACCGAAACCTAACAAGGGCCCAAAGCAGTCTAGCGATTCAAATACGAAGTGAGCACATGGGGCTCAACTCGTATTTATACAGAAGAAAAGTACCCGGAGTCTACAGTCCAAGCTGTCCATGTAGCTACCAATCGCAGAACCCCAAGCACATGATTATGTCCTGCCATTGATGGTCAGATGGAAGAGGAGAGATCTGAATACAAGTAAAAGATCGGTCCTACGAAACTATGCTAAGCAATCCTGGAGATATCAAAAGGATAACACAGTGGATCCTAAATCATGGTTTGATAGAGCAATCCCAGATGACAAAGGCGGTCGAAATGCTGCTGAGGGAAAGGAACAGATCATGCCTTTCTTGAGGTCGATAAAGCTGATGTGATTGGGTTATATGGAGGGCACTATAGTGTAACTGCGCTTCCTACTGGATACATTAGAAAGAATATAGAAGTTAAAAAGGAAGGTTTGGGGGGTTTCCACCATAAGGTTTCCTCCCATGTAAACTAGAAAGTATGATAGACACCTGCATAGGCCTTCAGGGCGCCAAATCGGGATAATGAAGTCAAATCTAAATAATTTATTAAAATACTCCCTAAACTCTGCTCGTAAAATTGAAATGTCAAATTTTGTCAAATACATCACGATGTTCATATAGCGTTCCTGATCATGTTGACTCATATTCTATGCAGATATGTTCCAAGCCATTCCAAAACACCTTTAATTCGCTTTTTGAATATCTATGGGGATTCAAGGTTGCAGATATGGCGGAGCAGGGAGAAAATTTAAAGATGTATTATGCGATTGATAGCATGTATTCACTGATCTATATCTCTCGCTGCTGAAAAAATTAGAAAAACACTTTGACTTCTGAATAATTTTATTCTGGTGATTTTGATGTCTCTTTACGCCCCCAAATATCCTCAAATACCTCTCCATCAATACCGTATTTAGGCTTAAGTTCCAGAGGTTGGAATCTGACTTCCTCCCACCTACGACGCTCTCCTAAACCATCGAAGCTTTTCCCTTCATAACTCTTACCTAACATGTTATTCACTTCGTTTTCGTATTTAGAAACGATAATAGAAGGGTCGTTAGTTGGCTCGAAGCCTTCGCGAATATCTTCACCTGCATGCTCACCGAAAGTACGCCTATTTTTTAAGCTATTAGCGTCGACTCAGGATTTGGAATAAACACTAACACATATCTCTTAGGTTCGCTGATGTTCCAACCGGCGCTACCCTCTTTCCTTGCTCGAATTCTCTCATTATATTCCGCTGCTGTATCTTCAATGACCAAGTCAACTAGTTGACTTTTGCCTGAATTACCTGATACAGATACCGATGATTGTTGGACCTGCGGATCTATTACTGCTGACGCATCGCTTTGAGAATCATCTGCTGATCCAATCTGCTGTCTGCTATAGGCATTTTCTTTGCTCTTGCCCTTAGTTTTTTTGTGGTATTTCGTACTTTTTCCACTTATAAGTTCAACTTTATCCCTGATATTTTTCGCTCGGAGAATCTGATTATCTTCCGTTGGCTGAAATATGTTACGATGTGTCGAAGTTGTCAGTAGTGCTGGCGATTCTTCGAGCCAACGCTCCGGGGAAGCTTCATGAGCTGTGATCACTGGGTACTGTATAATTAGAGAAGTCGGAGACCTATGATAATCGGTTTCTTACATTCCAATCTCCATACTCTAGCGCACGAGCTTTTTTGTAAAAGCATTCATCTTCTGTGTCCAGCAAAAGTGCATCAGAATGACTACTGCCGTACCCTGAGTTGAAAGGGTCTGTCGAAGCTAGATCTGATGGAACATTGTTCATAAGGGAGAGATGACCTGCTGTTTTCGATACCAATGGTGTTTTAGAGCTAGATTCCCCCGGCTTGGGGATCCAGTATTTCCCTTTTCCACCGCGCTCGTATCGCATCCCTTCCTTCAATCTCGCTATTCGCGATGTCGATCCTTCATGAGCTAGAACATTATCTCCAGAATCAAATAGTCGGTACTCATACTTTTTGCCACTAAATGTCTCCTTGGTATCCTCTATGAGATCACGAATCCCAAATGAATCTCGGATAGCATACTTCACAGGCATGCGCGCGGCTGATACTGTGGCGTCTGCGTAATCATGCCAAGAAAAAGCGTACCAATGGCCAGCTGCAAATAGAGGCATCTCTAAACAAATTAAAGCGTCCTGGATTGTGGCTGCTAAGTTGTCAGAGCTGTAACCTTCAATGTTATCTGGAATAGCACCGAGCCAGACCATAGTGGAAAGAAGGAAACCCTGCCAGTAAGATGCAAAGATAATTAGCTTGATACATAAAAACTTTGGTACTGGCCTGAATGGCTGTAGATCTTGTGCCATGCAAACCCAGAACAAGCCTAGAGAATATAGACTGACTGAGACGCTGATATTATATGCGATCCCGCTCCAGAAGTATCCAGAATCAAGTCCAATATATCCTTCTTTGTATGTCCCGGTACCTTTCATTACCACAGATATCAATCCAAGGATGGGTTTGAGCCATGCGTATTGGAGAATTCCACGTTTCACGGCCAAAAATATGTGTGGATCAGAAATATCAACAGTTGGAAGACAGTAATTAAGAGGCCATAAGTGATGGACTGGTTCCCTTCCGTGCATCATGATAATTAATGCTCTCTCACCGCCGATAAAATTGATCAAAAGTTGAAAAAAAGTGTAGATTGTGAACGCCTACTCCAAGGTCAGGGACTTGAAATATCATAAATGAATAAGTGTACTTCATAGACATCTCTTATTGGATCTACAAGCAATCCAGCTTTTGAAGATAATATACTTGTCCATGAGGAAAAAGAGTAAATCGGTACCCTAACTAAATTAGTAGCGAACAAATTCCCATATCTTTGATCTCACATTAATAGTATCCGGATTACATATCTTTGGAGAAGTGGCTTGCGATAATTTTTTCTGAGGTTTACTTTAGCTTCATCGTTTTCTATTTCATTAAGTGGGAGTACGCTTGATGCCAAATTGAACTTGAGAATAGATGTTATTAGTGAATAGTTGTCAAAGTTCTACGGCGATACGTACACAATAGATAGTAAAGATGCAATCAGAGCAGCAATTCCTGCTACGATGATAGTGGCATGTGTTAAGTTTTGCCCCGTACCCCTGGTGTAGACTGCATAAGCCATGATTGCTACAGCAAACACCTTTACAGCATGAGCAACAACCCAAAATCAGGCTAGATAGATAAGTATTGGACCAAAGAATAGCATCTTTAGTAACAACGAGTATGTAGCTCAATTGAGGTTGTCAGTTTAACGAAAGTTGTTGTTCATCTGATCGATCCATCTGTCGGGAATTTAAACTCGACAGACTAGTACAACACTAATCAGCATTCAAGATGCCTCCACAAACGTAACACACAGTCTGAGCATAAATCATCTAATCAGATAATTTATTATTGAATTGAGAACTGTGTCAAAAAAGCTGTTATGTAGCTCTACGGTGCTTGCTAATCAAGATGTCCAGCAACGGAGAAGAGCTAAAAAACATGCCTCTAAGACAGGATATTCAATTCAATTGGTAACTTAACATCCATTCGTATCAATCAATTAAATCTTACCAGGATGAAGGATATTCCTAGTCGAATTAATTTTATGTGGTGTTCTGTGAGTACTAATTTTTATATATTATATTTAAAAATACCTAATTAGTAAAACTTTAGGACACTATTCTTCCTTTTCTATTTCAATAGGGCCTTTGCAGCTGTACTATCCTATGGGCTCCGATCATGGACTTGGCATAAATATAAAGTCTACATTGATATAAAATCATTCCAGATCTCACTGTTGGCTGGAAGGGTATTTTTCAAAGGGTTCAGATATCATGGTAGCAACGAGACAATAATTATTCAAAGCGGATATATAACTTGGCAATACTGGCTTCGTAATTTTAAACATTTGGGACTCGATCGAAATCAACAGTTTGACCCATCTGGGGCATCCCAAAACAATGTTGGAGGCGGCCAGGGGTCTAATGACCTGAACGAGGATTATATACCACCCTTATTCACAAGTCTTCCATGTCGTCTAATTGTATCTCTAAAAGGTGTAGAATGGTTCATTTATAACCGAAGTCCAGCTTACGATGCTATCATCGATGCTGTTACCACGAGTTCAAATAGAGAGGATTCAGAGAACGTTAGGCAGGAGAATAACACTCATTCGGAACAAACACCTCATGAGAAGTATATAAGAAGTGAAAGTACTATTCATGGCTCGAATTGTTCAGATTCTTCTAGCGGTAGACCTACATCGAGAGGTGTTACCCACAATTTACACTCTCTAGAAAATGAGCTAAATAAATTATCGACAGCCTCTCAATCAGAAAGAAAGAAAAATGTAGAATCTCCTGTATCAGAAGATAGCGCATTGATATTAAAGATACTCCCAATTCAAATTGAATGTGAGAAAGCTGCTATCGTTATTGGTAATCGAAACACTAAAAGCATTCTTATAACTAAAATTGATAAGGCAGAAGGAAAAATAGATGCTTCTAATGCTCCGTCTAAGCTTGACCTATTTAGGCAATTTATTAACTTACATCTTGATCATCCGGTAATTCAGATTAAGTCCAACCAAGATTTCAGGGAGAACAATTCTACCAGTGGCTCTCGTGCTGATAATGGAGATCATGAAATGACTATATCTCTACAAGAATCTTCAAGTATTTTTTCTTTCTTCCGCCAATATCGCCGTAAAGCATGGCATCGGCTTCGAGATATTGTGCCAGCATTTAGGAGTTCAGTTAATTCATTGTCTCCTAGCATTAGCTTGCCTGAAAGAACCTTCGAAAGTGAACCGAGCAGTCACTGGCAGGGGCTCTCGAGATATCTTGATGATGGTGAGCAAGATGAAAAGTGTAGATGGTCCTCAATTGACTATGCCAACGTCTCTAATATTTTTGAGAGCTTGTCAACCGAAATTAGCCTATACTGGGATGTTGTAGGCTCAGTTCAGAAAAACCCGAATCATCCTGTGGGTAGTAACTTTACGAACAACATCAATGGTGAGACAGCTCCAGAATGGGGTGTTAATCTTTCAATTGGAACTTCGACAATTAATTACGGCCCGTGGGCTGATCGACAGCGCGTTGATATTCAAAAAGTCTTTTTCCCTAGTCTCTGTAAAGATTCTATACCATCGAAAATGCTCAACAAAGGTCAGTTGCGAATACCTGTCGAATTCAAGTTGAAGGTCGAAATAGATGAAGACTCTGTGCTTCGTGTGCCTATTAAGGAGGATTCTAAGAATTGGCGGTGGATAAATCAGGCAAAAAGTACGGGTGCAAGCCATACAAACTCAAAAGGGGCTAGTAAACATATTCATAAGTCAAAATCAGAATTAATTACCCAAGGGCCTGAAGCTCGACCATTTGGATGGCTTGATCTTAAAGTTGGCGCAAACTCAGTATTGAGATATTGTTCTGATACCATTGCAGGATCTGCGGGATTTTCAAGCCAACTGGATATAGACCTTCCAACTCTCGAGATTACAACCAGCGTCAACCACGGCCTACTTTGGAAATCAAATAATAACCGTATCTGCTGTGATCTATCTAACCCATTACAGTGGAATGGTCTTCGAAATTGGAAATTTGATGTAAGCAGTCACGAATTAGAACTTTTTATCTTACGAGAACATATTTTCCTTCTTACAGACTTAGTCGACGATTGGACCAGTGGGCCGTCTCCAGATTATTTGACATTCTGTCCATTCAAATATTCATTAAACATTCATCTTCATGATTTTAAGTTTTTTTTCAACGTCAATGACTCTAATATAATTAATGTCCCTTCTGATTTTGACGATAACACGTTCATAATATTTTTCGGTGAAACGCTAGACTCTAATATCATAATACCTCTCAATTTGTTTCGGCCACAACGCAACGAGGTATCGTTTGAGATAAATATAAGGCATGGAGGGTTAAACTTGCTTGTTCCTCCCTGGAATACTCAAGCAACCTTTTTAACAGAAAAAGAATTAGCTGCCTTCAAGAAGCTATTTATAAACGGCAAGTATCAATACTTTTCTACTGTTTCCCCTAGCAACACCGACATTCTACTACTTGACATGTGTTGCCAATCTTTATCAGCTCGGTTCTACGGATTTGCCATTCGCTATCTGCTAAAACTCAGAGACAACTACTTTGGAGAAGATATTCAATTCAAAACTCTTGAAGAGTATCAGGAAGTTATAAATTCCGGGAAAGAAAATAAAGGATGCCAGCCGCCTTCAAAAAAGTCAAATGGCTTAGATATAATCTTCGGATTTTCAATGAACATCTGTAGTCTAATACTTCCATCTAATATATATTCTACTAGTGATAGTACTCATATCGAGATTATAAATATCGCCTCTGATATTCGTTTCACGAATTATTACATGGATTTTGGACTGGACTTTGGTACCATTGCATTTTCTCAGGGAAGCGAGCATAGTAGTCTCACCAACCAGATGAATGCTACCTCAAGTACACAACTATTTATTGACGGTCTAAACGTATTTGGAAACCGACTATTTGGGTTGCCACCAACAGAGCCAACTTATATCTGCAATTGGGATTTTAGTATTGGTGCTGTGACTGGGGAATGTACTACCGAATTTTTAAGAAGGCTAAGTAGTGGTTTGAAAGCTTTCGTATTTTCTTACAATGATGACGAAAATGCAATACCATCAATATCAGAGCTGATACTGCATGATGTCACTTTTTTTCGGGCCTCCATTGAGTCAGTAAATTTATGGCTACATGTAGAACAATCTGCACTCTTTCTCATGACAGAAAAGATATCTGTTAGCTTCAATGACTGGGCTGGATCATATTATGCAAAAAATCTCAATATCTCGATACCAGGAATGAAGTTTGGATGTGTAAATGCTGAATCTGCCTCGAGACATAAATCCATAGGTAATCAATCAAATCAAACGGATGCTCTAATCCAGACAACCATATCATTAGTAATGGTTGAGAAAAATCTGGGGTTTGAAAGAGACCGGGAACTTCAGCAAGAGCATTTAAAGAAACATGATCATCTAACTCGTCGTTCTGGTTTTCTGTATGAAGAATATTCAAGTGCCAGTTTTGTGGAGATTCCAGTAGATCCTCCAACCATGAAATGTCCACCCTTACCAGCTCCTGTTTTTCTTGAAGAATTCTCAAATGACGGTAGGCTTTCAAGATCTAAGTCGGCTTCTTTCAACAAAGAAGGTCGTAAAAGCTCTTTTATTTCTCTCGAAAATTTAAATACTACAAGTACATCGAATAAATATCAACATCTCCCTCACGATTCTTCAACTCAAGATGTTCCAAGATCAAAACTACGATCAAATGTCACAAAGCGAGGAGTGCCTAGTAATCTTTGGGATCGCACTACCCATAAAGAAGAATACTCTTTCAAGCCTCAAAGACCTTATCTAGAAGGTCTGAATAATAAAAGCCAAAGCACACCTGAACTTTTTTCAAACTTCTCTAATTCATATATGGAACCATATTTCCCAATGGAAAGTATCATGCCTGATACCAGTGAATTACCCGAAAGTTATCCTGAATATACAAAGCATCTACCGCTTCTCAGCCTACCATTATGTCCTGATTATATTCCCTGGCAAGAATTTAATGATAAGAATATTCAAACTAGCTATGTTCTATCATTTCATGATGGAATAAGAGGCTTTTCCAACCCAACAGCAGTCAGAGTTATGACTGGGCTATTGAATACTTTCCAAAACGTTAGTCCGATAGACCTTCTAGATGAGATACAAATTGATTCTATTGGCGAAGTACTTAGAGTGAAAAACAAAGATCAGTTGGAGACGGCTATTGATTTTAAGTTACACTTACCATATTTGAACTTGAGATTCTTACAACCACTGAATTTTAAGGCTACTAAAGGTACTAGGATTAAGACTCATGATCAGTTTGATTTGTCAATGGTTGGTCTTGATATCACTTACAGGTCTGAATCACCATCAAATGACGCCAAGAAAAATGATGATGATAATAGTTTTAAGCTCTGTACCTCAATTTTCTCTGCAAATCTTGCAGCTAAAGAAAGATTTCACGACATGGTGGATGTAGAGATTTTTGCTCATTTTACCTTTGAAAATCTGACTTTTTGGGCCAATTTCAGAAATGAGCATACAGCGATTTTTAGGTTAAAAAGCTTAGAGTTTGTAACTTCTTGTAGAAAAGTTGAACACTTGATTTCTCTGCTCCATCGAACTGAAATCTTTACAAATATCTGTCTCAAGAAACTTGAGACTCGGTCAAGGCAACAGCAGAACCGTCTCAAATTATTTACCTATCTTGTTGCGACCGCTGGTGAAAAGGTTTCAGAGCCCCTCTTTTTGACCAGACCGTCATATGTTCTACGCTCTGCACCTTGTCATCTCCGAACAAAGGTATCCTGGGCAATTATAGCTCGACTACGTCATATGTACAACAGCCTTGACCCTTCATCTCAGCGTGACATTGGTAATCGTTCATCTGATAACAAAGAAGAGATCCCTCAAGATGCTCAGCAGCGTATGCTAGTTGGCCTCTCTACTTGGAGAAACTGGGATTTAAAAAGTATGGATAAATGTATGGTCATCAAAAAAATATATGGTGATCAGGGTAAAAATAATTTGGTTCCAATCCTAGATCGCCCCGTTACCTTTTTAATGTGGACTGGAGCCATTCAGTTGATTATTGATCCAGGCCCGGAGCAGAACACAATATCTATATCCGATATAACCATTAATTTTAAGATAAACAAACTATTTAAAGGAGACAATAATTTGCAATTAAGCAACGATTCAGTCAGTTTGATCACAATCAGGATTTTTATTGCCTCAATTTCAATGTGTCTCAATTGGGAACTTTGCGAAATGGCTAAAGATGTACTGAGACTCATCTATCAGAATAAAAACATTGCAGATCAGGCTTCTCTTTCAGGAACATTGGATCGATCAGAAGGTGCTATAAGAGATGATGCATATACACTACATATTATCCTAGTAACTGAGAAAGCTTCAATTGACCTGGATACTATAAATATCAGAGTTATTTTATTTTCCAAAGAAATAGAAGCATCTTTGACTACAATTAATAATGCAAGTCAAACTAGTCAGGAAAACAACAGTCTGATAGTTACTTCAAATACTGCCTCTTCAAAGATCATGAGTCATTCTCAAGAGTTGAGTGTACTACAGTTTCAAAAACCTAGGCTTTATGCTTCGCTACAGATAGAGAAAGGGTTCAACTTATCAGAATGTTCGCTTAAATTGGCAGCAAGCTGTCAGGAATTCGAGCTCATAATCAGCCAACCTGTAGTGGCTTTAATTGAAGTGATAGATCTTGTCGTCGTTGATGAAATTGCTCAGATCTACGAGCTAATGCGAATTGGATCTAGTGAAGACCACCACAAACTAGATAAAGGTACTGGCTCGCCTAAAGTAGTACTAATTCCAAAAGTAAATATCGCAGTGTTCTCAGAAAAATATCAAGTTACTGTTCCACTGCTTCGATTCTTAACCTACACAGTATTTGGAGATATAGTTAGATCCTCTATTGATGTTCAAGATAGTAGTGAAATTGCTTTTGATTTTGATATTAATGGTCAATCACATGAAATTAATATCTCGACTGATCGTAACAAATCAAGTGTTTCTATGCTAGAAACATCGCCAATAAATGGAAGAATAATGATACATATTTCTGAAAAACAAACTCTGTGTTCTATTTTTGCTTCTGTGGAACCTTTAATTGTCGATGCTGCTGTATTCCATACTCTTTTGACTGCAATTATTCGACCGGAAGTCTCAGGAATGATATCTGATATGCAAAATGATGTCGCAAATATCAGTGTCAAACTTAAAAACGTATTCTCAGCGGACCAACAAATTAAGAATCACGACCTGGCCTTAGAAAAACCATGGATATATAATGCTCACTTAACCCTAGCAGGCTTTAGAATATTTGCAAATGCATTAGGTGTTGATAAGAGCCAAAAATCCACTAGAATAGACCTTAATCTTGGATGCGTTCAGTTAATTGCTATGAACCAAGTTGGATCTAAAAATTTAACAGAGAAATGCCATGAATTTCGAATAAGTTTACATCAAATAGTCTTCGAGCTAGCTCGTTGGAACTCGACAGCAACGGAGCCCTGTGGAAATTTTTCATTTGCAGCCTTTGTAACTATTATTTCCAAAGTAGATAAAAATGGGCAAGAAGTTAAATCTTCATATATAAAAAGCAACAATCTAAAAATAAACTTGTTTGCCGACACAGCATCTTCAATCCTAGAGGTACTTGGTCATCTGCAAGATAAAATTAAAGATATCGATTTTTCAAGGGAGAAGCATTACTTACGAAAGTTCCGTGACTCTAAATCACGAATAACATCCGCTGAAATTCGAGGTAGCTATAGTGACATCGCCTCTAGTTCTTCAACAATACTCGAATCTATGTATTCTCTGGAGCTTCTCAACGTCCAGATTAGCTGGCTAGTAGGTACTTCCGGTAGTCAGCCACATTTAGAAAAAGTCGAAGATCTTGTACTATCGCTGAAGCGTATGAATCTTTCAACTAGGAAACAAAACTCTGCGCAATTAAGAATAGAAGATCTTCAATTACAAATGGTTCCGACCTCACAGGATAAAATAATTCGATCGTTAAATTCAGCACTGCTTCCAGAGATTATTTTTAATGTCGGACATATTTCCACGGATGATTCAAGGAGACTTGCTTTCCAGGCTAGTGGGAAATCTCTAGATCTTCGTTTGACCTCTCAATTTATTATACCAGCATCAGCGACAAAAAATTCAATTATCTCTGCCGCCGAGAAATTTCGAGAAGCCTCGGCGCTCTGGAACGCTTCAGACTTTAAAATAGTAGCCGAGCCGCAAAAACGGCAACCAATACTTGGGCAGAAACGACTTGAATCTTTGCTTATTGACGCAGACTTTGCCGGAGCTATGGTACATCTTTCCGGAAAAAATGGTGGAGTCTCTCGTGACGAGACATTTGCTTTTTCCCCGTTAGGAAAGCATGAGAGTGCAACGAATAGTGACACAAGAAGTAGTATTAATAACACCACCCTTTGTTCTCCCGGATTAGCATGTAAGATTGAATATAGAGATAATGGAGTGGAAAACCCTTCAGTCAATGCTGAAATAAAAGTTAACGCATCCTCCAACATTCTATATCCTTCTGTAGTTCCTCTTGTTTTAGAAATATCTTCTACAGTCAAAAATATTGTTAGCGATGAGGACAATAAATTTACAGATAACAAAACAGAACCGCAAGAGTCGGTAAGCGTCGATGATAATAATATTCTAACTTCAGATCCAAGCGCGGTCCTTGGGCGAACCCGTCTAAATTTAGGTCTTCGCATATATCGACAGGAATTTTGCCTGAGCTGTCAGCCAATAGCACGAGTTGCAGCGACAGCACAGTTTGAAGATATCTATATAGCAGTAAATACAGTTCAGTCCAAGGATCATGGTTATTTTTTTGCCGCTTCGGCAGCAGTATCGAAATTAAAAGCCTCTGTTCAACACGTTTACTCTAGAGAAGCTACGGGTAGTTTTTATGTTGAGAAGGTATTTCTCTCATTGATGAATAGTAGACATATAAGCACTACCAGTGGCCTTTCTGCTATACTTCAAATTAGTCCAATGAGCGTAATAGTAAATGCCAAGCAAGTTCAAGACTTCCTTCTTTTTAGAGAGATCTGGATGCCACCAGAGATACGTCAAAAACCAAGCGCTTCAAATACTCCGCCCTCAGCCCAACAGCTACAGACTATACTTGTTCAAAGATACCAAGAAGTCGCTGCCACTCGTGTGTTCCCATGGAATGCAACAGTATCAATCGCCGAACTTGACGTGCAGCTAGATCTTGGTCAGGCCATCGGGAAATCATCTTTCTTAATAGCAAATTTCTGGTTATCATCTAAAAAGAATTCAGCCTGGGAACAAAACCTTTGCCTAGGAATTAGCAAACTTGGTGTAGAATGCACTGGACGTATGAGTGGATTCTTTACTCTTCAGGATTTTAAGTTGCGAACATCAATTCACTGGCCATCTAATGAAATGGTTACGAAAACTCCTCTAATACAGGGATCAATGAATTTTAGTAAATTATCCGGCAAAGCTGCTTTCGACTATCATACTTTTCTTATTGCAGATATTGCATCTTTACAGTTTTTGATGTATAATGTAAGAAACAACCACAGCGCAAAAGTAGACCAACTTGTCGCATTTCTTGAAGGTGAATCTGTGCATATTTTTTCCACCGCAACGGCTGCATCTCAAGCCCTTGCCCTCTATCAAGCATTCCAAAAGCTTATTCAAGAAAAGAGAACAAACTTTGAGACATCTCTTTCGGAAATCGAAAAGTTTTTAGAGCGAAGATTTATCTCCCAGACCATAACCTCTACAGCACCACTCTCGGTTAAAGGATATGAAAATAAGTCAGATGGATTTCGAGTATCTTTACACACTCGAGTTACAATATCGCTTAAATCTGTGAATATTGGTGCTTTTCCCAATACTTTCTCGGATTATCAAGTATTCAAGCTTGAAACACTCGGTACAGAAGCAAGATTTGCCGTCAGTATGGATAATGGCAAAATTCATTGCTCCCTCGGCTTAACTCTCGGGCAGCTCTGTATAGGACTTGCCAGCATTAAGGAGCCTGATACCCCACAGACTTTGGGTGATATTTGTGTTGAAGATATTATAAAAGGTGTGACTGGTTCACGTGGGGGGACTATTCTGAAGGTACCCAAAGTGGAGGCTACAATGGAGACCTGGCAAATCCCGAAATCTAATGATATTGACTATATTTTTAAAAGTTTCTTTGAAGGTAAGGTCGAAGTTGGATGGAATTACTCGCGTATCAGCTATATCCGAAGTATGTGGACCACGCACTCGAAAGCTTTAGTACAGAAACTGGGAAAGCCTCTACCGCCATCAGCCGTTAGAATTATTGGCGATCTAGATGACGAGAAAGTCGAGCAAGCACAAGGGGGAAGACAGAAAATTCGGGCCGAGGTAAACGTGCCACAGTCGAAATATAACTATAGTGCTCTTGAGCCATCTATTATTGAAACACCACAGCTAAGAGATATGGGTGAAGCGACTCCACCGTAAGTCTTCAATTTGCACTGAACTTCCTATAAGATCAAGACTGACATAGAACAGATTGGAATGGATCGGTCTTCATCGGGACCGGCTCCCAAATCTAACCCATCAAATAGTGATTGTCACGCTCTTAGAATTAGCACGTGAGGTTGAGAACACATATGAGAAGATTCTAGGGTCTTCGTGATCAGTTCTGCCCATGAAAACTCAGATATTTTAGGCTTGTAGTTTTGAGCGATTACAATATTCTTTTTGCTTATTTTACCTAAAGCAGCAATACAGTGCTCCCAATTTTGCAGAAAACTCTCTTTGTAACTCTATTAGCGTTTATATCATCATTTATGTATTTTTTATTACAATTTCTTAATTAAATTTCTGAAAACACATAACATTTTCTGGAAGGCGGCGATGCATTCCTATCACGTCAACACTAAAACCCATGAGATCTATATTTATGGCCTGTTTTTCGTGATTCCTGGAAATTTAATTTATCTAGCAAGATTATAACATCAAAGTTAGAATAACACTCCAAGCTGGTGCCTGACTCATTTGGCAGCTAACTCACAAAAATCTTTTGCGTTTCGGGTACTTTTCAGATAGAAATACTCGCGTTATCTGTAAAAAACTTACAAGGCTAATGCAAGCTAGTTTTAGTATGTTAGTATTATTCTGGAAATAATGACCCCTCAGCCAAGAGGTTGCAGAGTGCATTAATTCAAGAAACTAGTGTTGGTGTAAAAGGATTAATTTGGTTTAATGCGTCAAAAGTGCTAAAAACAAGTGATGTAATTCTATCTATCCTCTTCCTGTATCATCCCTCAAGCATTTTAATTTTGAATTTGATTTCAATTAACCCGATCAGGCACCCTATGGGTCCATGCAGGTGACTATCTTCATTATTTACAAAGTAGGAAACCAATTGGATGAAAACCCCCTGATCCTGTCTGTTTATATTCCTATCAATTCATTTAGTTTAGCTTCAGGAAATGCAGTGTACACTGTTCAGCCCGTGTGGATTCCGTCCTCTCCCCTTCCAGATCTATTTATTTTTCCGACATTGCTACCTCGACTTCTCTTGCAAGTCGAAACTGTTTTATCCACCCTTTGTTTAGTATCCACTGTGTAATTCTAGCCATGTCTTCTGGGCTGTTCATAATTGCTTCAAATGACCTGTCTTTAGCTAGTCGGAGAAAGTCGCCTCTTCCATTTGCCCACTGCGGACACGCCAACACCATGTGCTTGACGTTTTGCGACGGATATCCACATTAACAGCTTGGCTTTTCTACTCCGGGGTACATTTTATCTGCACAGGTAAGAATTGAGTCCGATATTCTCGCTTCTTAGCTGAGTGACGACACTGCTTTGGGTCCTGGTCAAATTACTCCCTCAAGCATTATTATTTTAGTTACAAAACGAAGCCTGGTGCCCTAACTAAATCACGTGATATATTGACCAATGCTTATAAAAATATCTACCCAAGAAAAGCCCTCAAAATGGAGTGTTGCGGGAGCAAAACCACCTCAACACAGGAAGTTCCAGCGCAGCTTTTAACTCCCACCACCGAAATACAACTTTAATGTTCCGCGGCCGAGGATTTAAAAAGTAGGCAGCTTCTGGCCTCTGCATATTTCAGGTCAATGTCGGCAAATCTGGCCCAGCACATGACTCCTCACTTGCTTTCGCTTCCCAATCAGGAGCTGATATGATCCTTATCCGAGAGCCTTGGATCTTCTCGGACTTCTCCCGTAAAATCACAAAAACCCACCCAGGATTCCAAACTTTTTCTCCTATCTCCGAATGGACAGCCCGGCCTCGAGTTATGAAGTATGTTCGCAAAGGTCGCAGCCTCTCCCCCTTTCAGCCAAAAGCTTATTCGCGCGATCTAATTTGTGTCTGCATTCACCGTCGAGGGAGGCGTATGGTTGATTGTTGGAATATATACAACGCCCCAGCAGACTCCTCTGATGCAGGGGAAGGCCTAAGAGTTCTCTTTACAATAACTGAAAGCCTTAACATCCTTGCAGGGGATTTTAATATACACCATTCAGCCTGGGATCCGGCGGCTAGACAAGATTCGGCCTATGGAGACTCCCTACTGGTCTGGTCTATCAATAAAGGCCTATCTCTTTTGAACCCATATGGAATCCCATAACATGCCTCAGGAGGAGTACTGGATCTCTGCTTTGTGCAATCCAGGTCTCACCCCTCTTGCAAAATCCCCCAAGATCTCGATGCTGGCGTAGACCATAGAACTCTTGTAACTCACATTCCAGATGACGGCCCTGATACTCTCGCAATCGGCCGGCTTCAATACACTGCCTGCAACTGGGAAGCTTTCCGGCAAAACCTTGCTGACCAACTCACAACCCCGCCCTCAGAAAACCTAAGTGAGGAAGCTTCTTTCCTTGTTGATGCATTATCTGGTGCGCTACAAGCAGCCTGCCATATATCACGGGAAAATTCAAGGAGTACCCCATGGTGGAATGCCAAATGCGCTGAAGCTCATCGAAATTTTTGCCGCGCCAGACGTCTCAGTTCAAACGCCACAGAGGAACGTCGGGGCTTTGGCAAGATTATCAGGAAAGCCAAACAAGAGTACTGGCGTCAAAAGATAGAGAAGATATCCAATCTAACTGAGACTTATCAGGTCACTAGCTGGTACAAAAAACAATCTCTTTTCCAGACCCCCCCCTTGTCGGACCAAGTGGACCTGCAATAACACCTGAAGCAAAATCGCAGCTCCTCAAAGACACGCTCCTAAGTCGACATCTAGACCATAATGATCTCCCTCTAGATGTACCTACTGTCCCAGAAAAAATATACACTGGCCCTCACTCACAGACGAGGAAATATTCCGCTCATGCTGTCAAGTAACCTGCTCGGCACCCGGAATAGATGAAATCACAACAGATTCCCTCAAGAAAGCGTGGCCTGTAATAGGCTATTGGATCGCAGCACTTTTTCAATATATCCAGTCGGGACTTCACCCACCTATCATCAAAAAGGCCAACATAATTATTCTACCAAAGATGATAAACCGCAACTTCTCCCTACCCAAATCATATAAGCTAATCGCTCTTCTTTCTTGCCTCGGAAAAAGATTAGAAAGGCTAATTGCCCGAAGACTCTCCTACCTCGCCCTCAAGCACCGCATTATCTCCCAGGACCAATGTAGTGCAGTGCCCCGCCGCGCGGCGACAGATCTCATAACAGCTTTAGCCTGCGACAGTCAAATGGCGTGGGCCGAAAAGAAGGTTGCAGTTATTGTTACCGTGGACACAAAAGGTGCCTTCGATGGAATCCAAAAAGGACGCCTCTCTTACCGCCTACGTAGCCAAGGATGGCCATCTAATATCACACGCTGAGTAATCTCTTTTATGGAACAACATAAGGCCACCTTATCTTTGGACGGCATTAAATCGCCAAGTTTTCAAATCCACTGCGGCCTTCCACAGGGGTCCCCTATATCACCAATCCTCTTCCTTCTGGCTATAGAAGGAGCACTCAATCTGACACGCGGCCGATTCGGCTACACTGACGATATTGCGCATTTCGCATCTGCACCAGACCTTTTCTCTTGCGCAAAACTGCTCCAGAATCAATTGGATCAAACGCTTACTTGGGGGCTGTGACAATTTGTCACGATGCTGATGATGAGGGCGGCCTGAGGCACATAGGCTCTGTTCCCTGCCAGTTTTATAATGTCACCCACGTTCTTTGTATATAGTTTGGGGTAGATACCCCGCCTTTCATAGTCTCTTTCTTCTCTCTTCAGCTTAATATTCTAAGGATTAATTGAAGTACTTTCACACATCGATCTTGTCACAGGGGCAGGGGAACGGCATATCTTTTGAGATTTCCAAAACTGATCTACAGTACTTCCGCCGTAAACAGGGAACGCCAGCAGAACTAAGTCTCTACATTACCGGCCTTGAGATCAGGCCCAACGACCACACCAGGTGGCTCGGAGTTAATTTTGATCGGAACTTGCGTTTCAGGTACTATGTTATCCAGGCCTGCAGAAAGGCTCTTAGCATAATAGGTCATTTAAAACGGATTTCATGCACCACCCGAGGCATTTATCTACACCTTCTCAAACAGGCTCTGCAAGGAGTAGCATTTGCCACGCTTTTTATGGAGCTGAAACATGGTACTCAAAGTCAACACTGAAAGATATCATCACATGTATCCAGCGTAGAATAAACGATAATGCCCGTGCAGTCCTCCCTGTCTACTGTAAAACCCCTACTACCGCCCTTCTCCGGGAGACTGGGTGGGGCCCGGCACTTGCATGGCTTGAGAGAATACACGACCGTCTCGCAGTCCGAGTTGCAGTAGCAGACCCAAGGCATCCGCTTCGACGACGCTGGAACTCACCTCATATGCGTTGGATCCGCCAGAGAACCTCCACCGAACTTTCCACCGACACCATCCCGTCACCCTGGAACACCAACGAAAAGTCACACCTACAAACTATAGGCGCTGTAGGCAAAAGAATAGGTCTACAGGAATTCACAAAGTGGCACACATCACAGTCCCCCTTAGACTTATTTTTCTTCTCAGATGGAGCGCTTATCGACAACCAAGCCGGAGCTGGGTACGTGATATATCGGGGCCTTTCGCAGGAGGTTGGACGGGGCTTACTCCCCCTCAGAAACTCTGCTGAGGTTTATGACGCCGAAATTGCCGGAGCAACCAAAGGACTCGCCGCGGCCTTTCGTAACCCCATGACCCGACACGCCAATAAGGTGTTTGTGTGCCTAGACAGCCAGGAGGCTGCCCTTCGGCTCCTTGTATGCAACCCCACCCCCTCTAGCTCTCCTCGTATCACTCAATTTAGAGGGCTTGCGACAGTATGGACTAGAAGAGACCGTTGCAATTTCATAGAATTCGGCTCAGTTATCATTAAATGGTGCCCTGCACATTTTGGTATTTTGGGAAATGAAGCTGCAGACGTTCTCGCCAAACAGGCCTGCACACTCCCAGCCTCCTCACTTGCACCATCAATCTCAAGAACAAAGAGAGTTATCAAAATTAGATACCAAGATTCAGCGACCAGATATTGGACGCAAAACGCCCCCGAAAGATACAAATAACTTGGAATTAGAGAAAATGTTGAAGACTCACTGGAACTTAGGAGTCTCGACTGGCGAACACTGGGCCTGCTTCTTGCTTCACGGTCAGGGC